GTGGAATCACATTGGCAGGTTCTCATTCTGCGCTGGTCATCCATAACACAACACGATTATTCACTGTCCGGCGCAAATGCCAATAAATGCGGTGAAAGCAAACTGCAATAAAGACACTATTGAATCTCAGACTTTTCTCGCATCAATTGATTTTCTCTTTTCATTTAGAAGTTATGAGATTAGGTTCAATAAAAACCTACACCTATTTTCTTCCACTGCAACTTTGCTCATTTCTTTGTTCAATCTGTTTTGGGCTCCGATGCTGAGTCGACGTTTTCTCGCCACAGCTTTTTAAAATCCATTTAGAAAGACTTACAATGCAGTTTTGCTAACGTTAATAAATAAAATGGTTGCTCTGACCCTTCAGTGCTCTGGGCAATACCGATTGTAAAGTGGTCTGTTTCATTTCATTACAAAGTTTCCCTTAATTTATCCTCAAATGTACTGTACCTACAGGACAGACCTGAGGCTGGATCTATAGCCTGTCCGTCTGCGGGAGTGGGTCTCTCTCTCAATGTGGGCCTTCCTTTTTCCCACTGGGTTATTGAGTTGTTCCTTACTGATGCAGGGGGGTCTAAGGACAGCGTTGATGATCCAGAGCATTTAGGGACAATTTTTTATGGACCAATTTGATTTAAGTCTGAAATAGATTGAGATTAACAATTGGTCATCTGCCCCTATGGACCAATGGCTCATATGTGTTTGGTAATAAGTAATCTTTATATTGCACATTTTTACAGTCTAAGGTCACCTAAAGTGCTTTAGAAAGGCCTGGAGGTGGAATCATACCCATGACCTTCTTGCTGTGAATCACAAGCTCTAACTGCTGTGCCACCGTGCAGCCAAGTTTAAACATAGTAATAAAAAAACGATATATCAGAGTGTGGGGAAGCTGGCCAAAGGGTCAAGCAGGAGGCAGACAAGGAAGTTTCCAAAATTTATTTTCAAAATAAATAACCAAGGTGAATTGGTGGCACTATATATACAAAAACTGCTTCAAAACAAAACAAAGAAACAGAGGGTAATGGAACTTAAAACAACCCACGTGTATCTGGCTCTACTTGTGGTGAACTCCCTCAGACTGACTCCACAGCTCTTCTATACCCACCTAAGACCTCCCACAAATCTCTACTATTACTCACAGGGGTTGTTTCTAACTGACAACTCTAACTAAAGCGCTTTACAATGTTCAAAGTTCAGATATTGTTCTCTCCACACTGTGATGACGGAAGTGAGACGTCAAACACACTGGCACCAAAGCCTCTGCACAAACACCAGCCATTCTCTCTCTCATTATGTTCATACCAATTGTACATGCTTTTAGTGGTAAGGGAAACCAGAGCACCTGGAGGAAACCTACACAAACACAAGGAGAATGTGCCAATTCCACTCAGAAAGACCTACCGGGATTCAAACCCAGGACCTTCTTGCTGAGATGCGAGCGTTCTATCCACTCAGCCACCGTGTCAGCAAATAATTACACTTCTGTTTATTGCAACTATTAGATTCTCTGATCTTCATTCATTCATTCATTCTCAACCTCTTTATTAGTTCATTTCTGGGTCGGGGGCATGGCAATGAGAGATGCCACCCAATGCTCATAGCACCAGTCCCTCGCTGATCCTCTGCAGGTGGTGGGTCTACAGGAAGATGGCTGCTCTGGCAGTGGTGAAACAGCCCTGGTCTGTCAGGAGGGGCTTCAGGCAACGAGGGGTTAAGTGTCTTGCCCGAGGACACAACGGCAGTAGGCATTTGTGGGAGTAGTTGGAGTAGCTCCCATGGTGGGCTCGAAACCACGACCTTCAAGCCCAGATGCCAACTGAGCTACTCTCACCCCAATTCTCTGATCTGCTGTCGGCAAATCAACAACTTTGAAAAGTCCTCCGAGACGACCTTACTGTTGTGATTTAGGGCTATACAAAAATAAAATTGAAATGAATACCTGTCTTATACTAAGTCCACTCAGTCCTGCAGTCTTTGTTCATATTTTTACCCTGCCAACACAAGGGTAGTGTATCTGTGTGTGTGAATGTGTGAGTGTGTGTTTATATCTAGACAGGTTTGTGCAAAAACAATGTGACAGATTGAGCTGAAACTTGGTGTGTGGATGGGAAGTGATTTATTGGCCTTCAGAAATACAATCACTGTCTTTGAACGCCATGAAACAGACTTGACAAACAAAGGGTACAATCAAACACTCTTTCTTCTCTTTTCCATCTCTACAAAATAAATGCATATTGAAATCAACCACCTCTCGGCCACCTGTTCCTTCGGAGGTCTTTAAGCAAAACGATCGATAACATTTTGGCGATTTCTAGCTGTGCAAAACGAACAAATACTGCTCCGCCCTGTCGGTACTTATTTAACTCGTTTCCATCTGCAGTCCCTGGTTACAGAGAAATACATTACAATATACAATCCATTCTCTTAGACTAGTAAGACAGACTTATATATATGCACGAGTAATAACTGGTTCTGTCACATACTCCGATTTAATGAAATTGAACAACGAGCATGTAAGCCTGTGTGCTGCTAAATCAGTTTTTTTGGTGCAACTGGATCAAACTGGTTCTACTGCGGTCGGGCTGGCACATGACCACTTATATCGGATTATGTTGAGACAATCCTGTCCTGGAAAGCCCAGGGGGAAAACCAGGCGTATGTGAGACAGAAAGTAAAACTGAAGATGGGGAGTTGTCAACAGATTTCTTATTTATATGCTTTGTAAATGTACTCATTCTTTTACCAGAACCATCCAGAAACACGTCAAGTTGAATATAGAATAAAAAGTTCTGCAAACATTCACATGTTTAAGAACAAAATCAAAGCAACAGCAGTTAAATTGTATGAAATGAATGATTAGAACAATGAGAAAAATAAATATATAATAACAAAATAAATGTTATTTTTTTGTGAATAAATAGAAGAAAATAAAATAAAAATAGTTTGAAGGTGGAGTTCTGAAGTCCATCTTCATTATGTTTTATTTGATTTGTACATAGGCAACATAAGACTTTTTTTTCTTTTTTCTGCTCCTTTTCATTTGTGTGACAAGACTATTATTATTTAAAAGACAATTATTTGAAAAGTAAATGTAATATGTGATGTATTGTCATGTCCACAATTGAAATAAGTAAATAAATAAATCCTTTCCAGTCCATGCTTGTTTGCGACGCCAACGCCCCATTCATCTGTGTAGAAGACCCAGTAAAACATATGCTTTCACTTTTTCACTGTACATATGAAAATTAGCATGAGGCCGATTTTCCCATCAGAAAAGTTCCTTAATGCACTTTTAAGCAGTTTGTGCATAAGGCAGATTATTCCGTGAAGAAAAGCCAGTAATAGAGAAGTATTTGGACCGAAATGTTGAAAAAAAGACTGGGGCTGAAACGTAATATCCACTGTAACTTAGTTTTGATGATAATATTGAATTTGGCACCACTATCACACTATATAGCGAAAAACAAATTTCTTTTGGCTGCGTTCCTCAGAGCAAATAAGGATTCTTTATCTGGGCCTGAGCCATACTGACAGAAACTGACCTTGCAGGAAGAAACACAATTATTTCATTTATCATTCAGGAGCTAAAATAACACACCATATACACCAGATTTTGAGATTGGATAAAAAAGTAGAAGTTTCTTTCTAAGTATAGACAAGATGGACAAGATTTTTTAAATTTGAATAAAACTATAAAATTGCATTTATATAAAACTATAAATGCAATTTTATATTTTGAAAGAGTTCTTTCCAGCTGAAGAATGTGGGTGTTTGGAGATTCTCTGTTAGCTGTTTGAGCAAGAGCTGTTTTGTTTGCTTTTCTACTTTGATATTTAATATTTGGTGGCAGCTGCATTAAGCCTTTCTGAGTGGATTTTGCATGTTCTCCCCATGTCTCCGTGTAGGTCCAGGTACTCTGGTTTTCTCTAACACTAAAAACAGCCAATACCCTTATATGGACATGAGTGACGATGGGGTGACCTACGCTCTGTATCAAGGCCATCATGTTGCAAATGTAGCTGCTACAGCAAGCTGGAGTGAATAAGGACGAGTGTGACATAAACTATTACTGAGCTGGACAAGTTTACTTTTCAAAGTAAGTCAATGAGTAAGTCAAGGAGCTGGAGCAAAACTTTGTACATGAGCATCCCTAACCCTAACCATATTGGGCTTAAATAATAAACTATTGTTCATATTCAATTTAATCTGAATGACAGGATAAATCTGATATTTTTGGGAAAATTATGGTATGGTAGTAACATGTAAACCAGACTTTTGAGAGATGCATTCTGGGATGTTGCAGATTTGCAACATTGGCCCGCTGTGAAAACCCAGAGGAGATATAATCTACTAATTGGCATGAACTGTATTGATTGTACATTCATCTTGTATGCATAATGGTTTCAAATGATTAGAGGTTGGTAGTGATACTGACTTGAAAATGATGCCTAGAAAATCTAATTTGTGAAACCAAGATGACTGACATTTTGGAAGTGAGTTTTCCCCGTGGTGAGCAGGTGGAAAACTGTGTCCAGCAGTGGTACTTCTGAGTCAAAAAGGATCATAAATATGGATCTGGAGTAGTTGGGTAATAAGAAATAAAGTTGTTGCAAATCTGCAACGCCTGCCTAGAGAGGGTTATATGTATTTTTGTATAGTCCTAAATCACAACAATAGTTATCTCAGAGGACTTTACAAAACTGACAATTCGCCAACACAGATCAGAGAATGAAACAGTTCAAAACAAGATAAAGTGATGAGACAAGAAATACATAGAGCCATTGGTCTATAAGGGGCGGAAGACCAGTGTCCATAAATGTTGATAAAATCCATAAATGTTGATAAAATCCATAAATGTTGTCAAATGTGTCCTGGATCATCACCTCCACCAATATGTGTAAGATATCTAGTAGCTGTTTTTCTCTCTTACACTGTTAAAACTCTTGAACAAAATCCTGGGCTGTGTGAGCTGGGACACTCTTGGCCGTGTGCCTGCGATGGAGGAGGAGGAGGAAGAGGAGGAGGAGGCCGCGGTGTAAAGAGTAGCTGCAAGAGTCTGTGTGGGAGAGCAGCGCAGCCACAGGTGTAATCCACACACACGCTCTCCGGGCGACCCTGCAGGTGTCCACGTCCACACGTCGCACAAGAACAGACCCAAATGTGCAGTGAGAGTGTAAACACGTGGGCACGGAGCCACGCCATCGTCTGCGGCCCCGGGGCGAGCCACTTAACTTTTCATCTACTTCCTACACCAGCGTTTACACTGCAGAGGAGGCATGGAGCAGCGGGATTGTACACCAGGAGCTAGGCTTGCTGTATGTTGGTAGAACCGCGGGAGTCGAACACACAGGTGAAGCTCAGAAGATTGGAATATTGTTCAAAAGTTTGTTGATTTCTTAAATTCAACTTGTGCCAACATATGATTTAGACTCATTGTATGCAAAGTGGCATTTGTTTGTAATCATTTTGTATGATATTGGCTTACAATCCCTTTTAAAGTAAAAACTATGTGAAAACAAGTGATAAGCCAACGGACCGAACTGTTAGTAGAGTGAGGTCCAAGGTTCAACGTTCAACTTTATTGTCCTCTCAGGACAATCATCTGCCCCATTACAACATAATAATAGACCATAGTATTGCACAGTCCCATCGGTGCCAAGACACAAAATAATACACGAGATAAAGACCATGAATAAAAACAGTATCCCACGATAAGCAACAAAGAGCATACAATGATTAAAGTGCTAGTGCATATTAAGAAGTACGTTGCACTTTCCCCAACAAAGCACTTGTGTAGTTGGAGGCACTAACGGTATTGCACACGCCCGGTTATTGAAAAGGAAATACAGTACATGGATGCTGAAGAGCAATTCAAAGCAGGTAACTATTCAAGTTGCCACAGTTCATTTGATTGGTTGTTAGGCTTCCCAGCTTTTCAGTCATATTGGTCACTCCATGCCGGTGCAGGAGGGACCAAATGGTGCTTTCAGACCGCAAACGCTCAAACGCTGAAGCCTCGCTCACCAGACGCGCATTCTCTAGTTTTCAGATGCAGGGGTCTTCACTCCAGAACGTCCTGGCGCGCGCCGATAGTGGCGGAAGTTGCCGGGCGGCTCTGATGCTAACAGAGTTTTGGCTTCTTGTGTAAAGATCTTCTCCAATAATGCAGCTTTGCAGCGTGTGTCTGTGTTCAGAGACCTTCCACGGATTTTATATAACAGTAGTATGTGTTCACGGAGGTGCGCGACAAGTTTATTTTATTATTAAACGGTACTTCCGCATCGGCGAACACACTTGAAGCAGTTGCATAAAGTCACGGGAGCATGACAACGCATATATTCACAAACACATTGTCCCCCATTGTCAACCCTGGTTTAGTCCTGATGTAGCTCCTGTTTTGGCTGTTTACAGTATGTTCAGTCAACTCGCTCAGACCACTAACGTCCCCGTGACCACTTTGCGGTCTCTGATTGGTCGCTGCACGAGCATCCCGAGGAAAGGTTGAGCAAAGTTTATCTCCTGTGGGAGTCCTTTTTCTGCTCTACTGAACAGTCCGTTCGTTCGTGCGTCCCGTTTTGACGCTTGAACTCGCGTCACCATAGACTTTGCATTGAAAGCCGACGCAACGCAGGACCCGGTCTGAAAGCACCAAAAGACAGGGATAAACTAGGACATTGATGGACTAAGGTCTTCCTGCTTGGACCAACAACTCCTATGTATCTGTAATATTGCATTTCCTGTGTTAAAACTGTTTGATTCTCTGATCTGTTCTATGCTGAATTAACCACTCTATAAAGTCCGCCGAGACGATTGCTGTTGTGATCTAGGGGCTCTACAAAAAGTAAATACAATTTAATTGAATTTCTATTATTTATTTTCTCATTTACACATGTTTACTCATGCATACTCATTTACCCTTGTATGTTAGAGTGATTTAAATTCTCCCGTCTGTGCATCCTTGTCTCTTCCCATACATTCCAGATTTAATCAACTCATTCCCTCTTTGCAAACAATTAGATTGCGTTGTTTTCCCTCAGTTTGAGAGAGGATTCTGACACCTCTCCACAGTCATACATTATGGATATGCCAACGCTTGCTTCTGCTAATAGGAATTGACAGTGTAAAAATACCATAAAGAAGACTGGGGAGTTTTGCAGGGCTCACCCAAAACATTTTGTCTCTTGAATCACACACACACACACACACACACACAATTAAAGCTTCAATGCGGTGCTGCACTGGGACATCCACAAGACATCCTCATCAATTATGGAGGAGCTCTGAGCACCATCTATTACAGCCAATCAGCTGGAGAAATTACTGATTTAGCACCATTAGCATCCCTTTATTCATTTAAGAAACAGATGCAATGTGCCTGATAAGTTTGTGCGGATGAGAGGAGCTAAAGAGCTGCAGTAGAAGCCTTTGCAACCGACAAATACATGCAGCAAGTTCCAATCCCAGCAGTTGTTCATGGCAAGAAGCAACATAGTTGAGGTAATTAATCAGAAAGTGTGCCCGCTAGCAAATATGTAAAACTGGAAGAAGAATAGATTTGTTTACAGGATGTTGCTGAGAGTTTTTAAAAGCAGTGTAAGAATTGTTCAAGTTCTACTGTGAAAGTTGTGTGGGTTCTCTTTTGTTATATAAAATCTATAAAGTAAGTGAAAAAAATAAAGGCAGGTATGAAAAACGTCTCAGTAAATCTTCAGGATCAGGAGTCTGGTGTGAAAGCCAGATCCTGTTATGCTGCTCAAGGTAAGCAGGACAGTGCCTGGCTATGACTGTGATGGGAGAGCGGGGCAGCTACGGCTGTATCATTTTACCTGTTTTTAGTGGTCAGAGGAAACTGGAACACCCAGAGGAAAGCAACATAGGCACAAGGAGAACATGCAAACTCCACACAAGAAGGCCCCGTCTTGAGGTGGACTTGACCTTCTTGCTGTGAAGCACAAGTGTTAACGACTGTGTAACCTAAACTTTATCAATTTTTCTCTGTGGAGAAGTCCCTGAATGCTGGCAAGAGTTCAATTGTAACTTTGTAATTTAAGTTAGATATTTAAAAACATTTATCTTTTGACCACCATGTTTGCATTGACACAGACAGGTGTCAATGTCAACAGGTGAATTAACGAAGCTAGGCTGCCTGTGAAAGAAGCAAGGAAGGAACTCTGGCAATTATGAGCAGAGGAGAGATCATCTTCCAGGGTTGGCTGAGAAAGTCACCACCCGAGAAAAAACTCAGGAGATATGCCTGGAAGAAGCGTTGGTTTATTCTCCGCAGCGGGCGAATGAGCGGAGACCCGGACGTGTTGGAGTACTACAAGAATGACCACTCCAAGAAGCTGATTTCACAGCTTCTTGGACACAGACAGGTGTCAATGAAAACATGGGGGTAGGTTGCACACCCATGCATTCCTCCCATGTCTTACTCTGCAGCTTCGGCTTGTTAATGAAATGTGCCACTGAGGGTCTGTTGAATAACTGGAAGTAACTGTTAACATTTCCATGAAAATGCACCTCTCTGTTAACACGACTAAATCAGAAGTCAGAGAATGTGCTGCTGTAGTTTTTTAAAACAGCACAATCCAATAAGAAATTCAAATAAGTCTCTGAAGACTCTTCCCATTCCTCCACAGGCTTTGCCATCAGGGATCTGCTGCTAACAAAAGACAAAGATCAAATGCAGAGAAGCGATGGCTCGGGTGGAGTTTAGGATCAAAGGACCACACAGACTCCCTGATCAGTACGCAGCCCTGTGCAGGTGTTGGGGGCTTCACTTACTTTGCGCCTATCCCCACGTCAGATCGCAGTTTGATGTGTCCGTGCCGTGCTTCATTATGCATGCCATATTGAACCAAACCAATGGGTAATCAACGTTAATCAAATATTCATTGGGACACAGTTGGCTGGAGGGCATGCACCGACCCTGGTGGGAACAACGGGGAGGCGTCAAATCAACAAATCTCGCTGTGCACAGAACAGACAGTCAGAGAACAATAGGAAACATGTCTATAGAAAAGCCACACACTTTATGAATGTCTTTAAGCCAAATGTTCATTGAAGGTTAATTAAATAGGTAGGAAACTATTATCATGTGTTCTCCATCCTCTCAGGTCAAAACTCAGGGTCTCATTAGTCGACCAATATGTTGACCAATATAGATTTTCCAGAGCTGATACACAAACTGATAATTAGTAGCCAGCTAACATTCATTTGCAGTAAAAGCACTTTATATTCAATACACCTAACCAAAGTGATCAGTTTGTTTAGGAAAAGATAAAGTTTGTAGGACACGACTGCAGCTGTTGTGTTGTGCGGTATTGTTGTGTTTTGTTGATAGTTTTGTTGTTTTAACCAGTAGGCAGGAGAAGACTTTATAGTCAATTTATCAATATTTTCCTACATCTGTAATGATAATCCATCCATCCATTTTCTTCCGCTTCATCCGTTGCCAGGTTGCGATGTAGTGATAATTTTGTTTTTCTTCTTTGACCTTTACTTAACCAGGAGAGTCCCATTAAGATTTCAGAATCACTTTTTCAGAGGAGTCCTTGAACTATTGTAAGCTGTTTTTAGTGGTAGGGGAAACTGGAACACCCAGAGGAGACAGATGTAGACACAGGGAGAACATGCAAACTCCATTCAGAAAGCCCCCATCTGTTAATTGAATCAAACCCCGGATTGTCTTGCTGAGAAGTGAGAATACAAATATCTCGGTTGACCACTAGAGTATGCGTACATCTATTCTTAATATCCCCTAACCATAACCTATGTTAAGAATTCAAGAATAGATCTATAGTAGTGACCTGAAGGCATCCCATTTCTCGCATGACCAGCGAACTCACCGCACATGTCACCCTTTGAGCAGTTTTGGAATGTTTGGGATCGCCGTATACAACAACGTGTCCTTGTTCCTGCTAATATCCATCAACGTCACACAGTCTTTGAAGAGTGGACCAAAATTCTACAAGCCACAATCATAACAATTCATTCTAACCACACAAAACTCCCAAATCAGCAAAGAATGAGTATGCAGATTTAGACAGAGATGGGTGTATTGAGAATAGAGACAGAGTTTTATATTTTCAAGCAAAACACATGAGAAAATGGGAGCAAAAACAAAGGCGTTTTGGGTTCGGTGTGGTTCCAGGCCCCTCCACACAACAGCAGAACAGTGGCTCTTGACAGACTGTGACTGTCTAACACCCACATCGAGCCGAGGCCCCCGTGATTTACATTTGCACAAAGGGTCGCTCTTATATTAATGGAGCCGTCTGTTTGAGCGCCTATAAATAGCCCGCATATGAAGTGCTGCTGCTTGCCCGCCATTTTTTTTTTTTACGCTGATCTGCACATTCTCCCCCTCCCCTAATCTCAATTCTATTAATGCGATATTTACGACACACGCAGCCTTTTAGCCTGACACGGCCGTAAAGTATGTTCAAAAAAGCGGGCCATGCTTTATCTAATTAAAAGCGTCTGCGATTGCGATTCAGCTGGGATGGTCTTTAAAAGCCCCATCAGTTCTTGCAACCCACCCCCTCCCTCCCCCACTCCCTCCCCTATCTCCCTGGACGTGCAAAGGCAGAGCTAATAAAGCAGGAGTTAAACATTCCGGTTAAAACGTAGCTACTGGAGGAGCGGTGGGTCATTAGCATATCGCTGTTATCGGTATTCGCTGCTGGCAGATGGAAGCGGTCACCTCGCTTGATAACCTGCGTTTGCTCAGGTGCTGACCTTGCCGTTCGGTGATTGAAAGCGTTTTCCCCGGACCCCAAATTTTGGCGCTTACAACAGCAGCAGGTGCATGTGGTTTTTGCAGCATATGAGAGGAAAAAATGAGCATGTGAAAAGTGAGGTTTTGTGGTAAATGAGAACCATTGGGAACTATTTCAAATGTAACACTATAGACTCTTAGGATTTAGGAACAAATAGAACTCACGGAGCAGACATGTTGTAGCTCCCATTCAAAACAATGGATTTCTTGGGAGAAAATCTTGGATCTATAATAATAACTGGATAGGGTATTACTAGCTTATAGCTGTCCCACCCATGGGCAGAGGGGGCGCCCATGGTACTGCTGCCGACTAAATTCACGCGGGCTACCCAGAAAAAAGTCCCATAGATCTCAATGTAAACCAAAACAGCTCAACCTCAACTGACAGAGAACCTACAGCTTTCAGAGATATCGGATTTTGTGGAGATTTGTGTGTCCCTTGTCATCCTGAACTTTTTTTCTGCTTAAATCCTTCGGTTTTCTTTAAATCCACACTTTACTGCCACAAACTCTGCTCCTTGCCTTCCCGCTCTGACTCCGCTCTGCTGCTGCTCTGATTGGTCAAAGCGCGGCCGAGCCCCTCTGTGCACGTGCATGAGAGCCACACGCATATTTGGCGCAACGCATCATGGGAGATAATCCACTGCGCAGAACCGGGAGGACCATAAAATACCCAAATATAGGCGAGTTCAGCTAATCTCCCGGTCTCCGTGAAGTCCCATGCGCTACTGAGCAAAAGCCATTCATTTGAATAGGGCGCCATCTTGGATCACAGGGGCTTGAAAAAAAAAAAAGAAATAATCAGTTTTAGTTTTGCACTACTTAATAATGATGTCACGTCATGTCATTTTCATCCCATTTTTTGTCCATTTCTGGGTCCGAGGGTGGCAATCAGAAAATCCACCCACTCCTCCCGTGGAAGATGGCTTCTCCATCAAAGACACAAGGACTGGGTCTTTCAACAGCAGTTGAAAGACCCAATGCTCTACCAACTGAGCTGATAATACATTTCTTATTTCTTTCTTAACACTTGCCTTACATATAAGTAAAAAGTACATTTGAGAACAGCTAGAATACAGTTAAAATACAAAGTTAAAAGCATGCATGAAAAGAGGACGGTGTAGTTATGGTGTGAGTGAGTCAGCTTGTCTGAACAGATGAGTTTTGAGGGTGAGTGGGTCGGTGTTATGGAGGTCAGGGGGGAAAGTGTATTTTACTACAATTACAGTTATTCATACAGTTTTATAGAAACAGAAAAAGTCACAAAGTAAAAAACAAAAAACAAAGTTAAAAACAGACCTAAGCCGAGTAATTACACGTCTGAAACAAAAAGCATATAATCATATATCCTGCACATTCTGCATTAAAAACATATATTCAGCAATATTTTTCTGAGTGGAAAGTCGGGACTTCAGAGTTTCTGAGATGGCATGAATCATCAGTCCTGAAAAAGAAGCATAACAAATGGAATAGAATAAAAAAGAGAACTTTTCCTCCCACTGTACTTTACGGTAAATGACTTTTGAATATCAGAGTAGATTCATCACTGGGTTGTTCAACAGAATAGCTGAGAACTTTTTTGCAGAAATCTCTAGAGCAAGTTACTGATAAAAAAGAAGAATTTGAAGTTTTGTGAACATAACACGATTGTAAGTAAATCTGACAGTCGAACGAAGGTAGTATTTATGTGACGAGCAGATGGAAGAAGAGCGGGACGAAGAGAAAAGAAATGTCATTTTAATTTAAAGATCCACTCCAAAAATCATAATGCAAATATACAAGTGCTGTGTTAAAGAAAAAAAAAGCCCTCTTTAGGCTCCAGAAGAAATAAAACAGATTCAGTTATTTTGAATCTGTCACGAAAAAGTTACAAAATTGCTTGAAATATGGCTGGTTTCTCTTAATTTGAGTGTTTTTTATTTTTTTACTGTCTTGATGTCGTTTTTGCAATATTTACCAATAGAACAAGCACAAATCAAATTCCATCCTGTTTTGGAATGAGAAGTTGCAACTGTGCTTTAAATCAGACTTAACATGTTTATCTCATTAGAATATCAAAGTAAAATAAACAATATAATGGCCCTGATATACATAATATTCATGTTTACAATATGTCTCTCATTTGGATTGCCAGTTTGTTAGTTGAAACTTAAGCCTGGATCACACGAGACGATTTAAAAATTGTCGGCTGATTTTCCTAACCTGAAACCCCACACACGGAGATAAAAAATCATGGGTCTAACCACTTTGGGTGTACAGTGTGTGGTGCGCAGCCACACGGCAAAATCACGCAAACCACACACGAACCGATTTCCCTCCGAGCATTCCAAGGTTAGACGGAAATCTCACAGAATCTGTCGAGATCAAGCGTGACCACAGAGTAAACAATCATGGAGGACGAAGAGGATGCAGTGGCGATAGTTTGCAGTTTGTTTTTAACAGAGAAAAACGCGTGTATGGACTATTTATTTAGGCCACTGACTTATGATTTTTTTCCGGTGTTTCCTCGCCGCCTCGTCTTCTGATTGGCTACGCCGCAGTCCACTGCAGCGTGCTCGTCTGTCCCCGGAGGACACCACACACCAAGAGAAATCGGGCCAAAACAATCCAACATGTTGT